CTTGAACATCTAATGTAAATTGCAATTTTTAAGGGTCCGTTTGGCGTGTCTTTTTGGGAAGATCTTCTGGTAGCTCCGATAGTCAAAAGACGCATTGAACTTTTGCATGAAGATCTGAGCAGCCCGAAGCATGTTTGGCAGATGTGTGTCATTCCGTTCATCTTTTCACGTCTTTCCGCACAAGAATAAACCATGAAAGATGCGAAAAGCTACATTTGGAGCTTCCCAAAATCAGCCCAAAATGGGCTTTTTGCGTCTTTTCGACGTTTCAGCTTTTGGTGGCTAGATCTTTTGTGCGCCAAATGGAAATAGACTGAAAATCGGTCTTCTCGACTTGTAAACAGTCGAAAGACTGCATAGAAAGAAGTGCCAAATATAGCTTAAATTTTTTAACATGTTGCGAAATACTTTCTCACATCTAATATAAAATAATTTTCATTCTAAAAAAGATTTAACATAGATTTTAAATACTTATGGTTAGATCATTATTACATATAGTATTTAAAATACCAGATGAAATAGCTAGACTAGTATATGACCATTATAATTTTGTAAAACTTAAAATTCTTTTAAGTAAAGCCCACGTATCATCAATAAAATGAGTAGTTGCACAGATATAATAAATATTATACCTAGAATACCAAATATCTAAAGTATAAAATAAATTTATAAGAAAAAATTTTCAAAGTATAAATTAAATTTTGTTTATATGGTTCAAAAACTTTTACAATATTTAATGTAGTTGTATTCCTATAAACTTTCCAACTATGTGTGATTAATTGATGTTTGTATAAAATTTTCAAATCTAGTATCTTTGACAAATATAAATGGTTGTTCAACATGTATACCTAGATAATGCTTATCTCATTTTATCTTGTGAATAATGGAAATTAGAAAATGATCCAAACCCATAACCAATTTGTGTTTGGGTTAATTCATTTTGAGCTTGTTGAATATGTTTTTTTAAGTGGCAATGTCACTATTATTTTGATAACTAAAATCACTTTTGCATTTAATGCATATTGCTCTTAATCCCTTTCTTGATAATTTTTTGAGTGTAAAATATTCATAACAATTATTGGTTTTTTCTTTGATGCCTCAAAAACAATAATAAGGACGAGCCTCAATGCCTCATCTTGGTTGCACAGTTCAATAGTACTAGCACTAATTCCAATATCAGTGCTATTGTATTGTGATTGTGTTTGAGATTCATCATAAGTAGGGGTGGCCACAAGCCGAGCTTCTTACGAGCTATTTGAGCTCGGCTCGACTCGGTTTAAACTGAGCTTCGAGCCGAGTGTGGTTTGAGCCAAGCTCGAGCATAGTGAAGTTTGACTCTTGAGGCTTGCAACCTTAGTATAATAAAAAAATAATATTTTATTATATACATATACCTATATAAATATATATATAATATTTTTTATTTTTTATGTATAATAGTAAATCATTTTTATAATTTTTATTTTTTTGTATGTAAAATAAAATTATTTTATATGTATATTTTTTATTTTTAATATGTATAATAAAAATTAATTTTTAATTTTTTATATGTAAAATAAAAAACATTTTATATGTATACTTTTTATTTTTTAGAAAAAAAAAACTTAGCTTGTAGTCGAGCTCGAGCTTACAAGCTTTGAATCGAGCCTAGCTCGAGCTCGAGCCTAACACAGTTTTAGTGAGCCGAGCTCAACTAGCCAAGTATTTGGCTCGGCTCGGTTCAAATCCACCCCTAATCATTCATAGGTAGAGTGTAATAAGGGTTTGAGAGAAACTAACTATTTTAATAAATATTACAATCTAAAATTTATAAAACAACAACTAACATGGTAATTACACTTCAAAGTTTGCCTCTTGAGTCTAGTCCACTAGTTCGATATTTTAACTTGAATGCAAAGCATTTAAGCCTCTCAAATTGCCAAACTCAAGTCATTAACTTAAGACAATTGAGAAAGTTGCAAGCTTTTTTCTTATTGAAATTTAAATAAAAAATAAAAAATTAAGAATATGATAGTATGAGAGCATGAGAGAGATTGATTGTTGTTGTGATCAAAATGGGTAAGAGTTAGGGTATTTATAAGGGTTGAAAATGATTAAACTAACCAAAATGTCCTCTAGCTATTTATTGTTGTTAGGAGTTGTACCTTGATCATTAAAGGTTATTTATCACTTTACTTTTTTTTTGAAAGATAAACCAAATATATTTTAAAGCATAGAAATATGTACAAATTGTTCAACTCTTAGTATCCCATCACGATAGTCATTATATTCAAAATAAGACAAAGGATTAAATTTTGCCTATATGGATACCTTGTAAGCAGGTATATTAAAAGTTGTGTTTACATATTTGAAAGCAACATGGAGGTTTAACAAGGAAATTAAATTCTTGGTTCTTAGCAAAAGCCAGTGGCAGAACCAAGGTAGAGGAGAGTCCTTGTGCAGAGCCTGTATAACTTGTAGATTATCAGAGCAAATGCAAATTTCTTTTTGCCTCCAAACTTGTAATTCCAAAAAGAATTGCAAGATAGCAAAGAGTTTTGCTTAATCAATAGCAAAAGGATGAGATGTTCGTCGTATGATAATTTTCAAAACATTAAAGATTTGCATTTAAAATCACAATGCCGAAAGTAAAGGAAGAATAAGAAATTTTGCCTACATCAATAAAAATGATTATTTCAGTAGTACAATTGATAGACGGATTTAATATATTACTGTGAGAGGGAGAGTGCAATAGATTTTCCAGGGATGAATTTTGAAAAAATCTATTGACTATAGAAAGCATTGCAAGGGAAGAAGTGTTGATTATTAGCAATTTGATAATAAAGATTTATAGAGTAGGTAGTCCAAGAATGCGGAGAAGTAATGATTAAGTTAAGATTCCAAGGATTACCAAATAAGATTGCTCGAGCAAAGGAGCAATTAAGAAAAAGGTGACCATTAGTTTCTTCAGATTGACCACAAAGAATGCACACCTGATCATTAGGTTCTAAAAAGAGAGAAGCTTTCACGGGAATTTATCACTTTACTTAAAATGCCCCCTAAACTAGTTGTTTACAGTTGTTAGGGGGCATTTAAGTCATTTTGTGCACCATGTTTTTGGCAAAATACACAAATACTCCTCCAAAGTAGCTATTTTATAGTTGTAAGAGTTTTTTTTTTTTTGGCATTTAACCCCCTAAAAATGACTATAACCATTGGTAACTATCACTAGGCCACTGATCCACTAGGTTCGGCCATGTTGATATGAGCCCTCATGCAGGGCGGCATGACTGTGTGCCATGAATCCTTAGCCTAGCCTGACACAAGGGGTTGAGCCATGCTTGAGACCACTTGTCATTATATAATGTAAACTTATATTTACCCTCGGTACATAGGGGTGTCAATTGACTGGTTTTGGTTTGGATCCAATCCGGTCCAAACCTTATTAAATCGGATTTGGACGGTCAATTATAATTATTGGATTGGGCCAATCCAAAATAAATTGGTCCATATTCTTATTGGTTTGAATTAAAATTAAACCAAATTTTCAATAATCCGATCATGAGGCCAAACCCTTGTCCAATTTGAAATCAATCAAAACTGAAAACAACATAAAATCACTTTTATGAAAGTACTTTTATGAAAGCACTTTTACAAAAATATTTTTATAAAAGCACTTTTACACGAAAGCATTTATATGAAATCACTTTTACAAAAAAATTTTTACGTAAGTACTTTTATGAAGCACTTTTATAGAAGCACTTTTATGAAAGAACTTTTACGAAAAAACTTTTACAAAAGTACTTTTATAAAAACACTTCTACGAAAGTACTTTTACAAAAGACCTACAAAAATACTTTTATAAAAGTCTATGGAAGTACTTTTTGAAAAGTGCTTTTACAAAAGTACTTTTACATAAGCACTTGCCCGAAGTACTTTCCGAAGGTACTTTTATAAAAACATTTCTATGAAAGTACTTTTATAAAAACACTTCTACGAAAGTACTTTTATAAAAGCACTTCTACAAAAATACTTTTATAAATCTATGGAAGTATTTTTTCAAAAATACGTTTATAAAAGCACTTTTTCGAAGTACTTTCAATAAAGTGCTTTTGTAGAAATACTTCTATGAAAATATTTTTATGAAAGTACTTTTACAAAAATGCTTTTTCAATGCTAAAAATGCTTTTATATAATTTTTGATATTTCATTCGGTTTGATCCAATCCATTTACATTTTAATGGATTGGATTGGATTTGGACTGGATTGGGTCCAGTCCATTTATAAATGGACTCACACTGGACTGGATTGGGGTGGACCAAATCCATCCAATTGACACGAGGCGCACATGCCCTTACATTTGTTATATATAACATATAAAATAAATTTTATACATATAAAACATAAAATATTATACATTTAATATTTTATACATAAAAATTATACGCCAGCCGCCCAGAATCAGGCCCAGCCAATGATCACCCTTAATTGAATTTCTGATTCAATAATTATTATAGGAATTCACATCTGCGCCCTACAATGTCCCACAGCGCATCCCCGCCGTGTATTGGGAACATTTCCCATAGTCCCAGCCCAATACACGGCGGGGATGCGCTGTAGGGAACAGATCTGAACACTTATTGTTACAGCTAAAATCCTAAGCAGCCCAATAAAACGCGAAGACGAGATAATAGCAACCCAGATTTTCTGCCAACGAAACACCTTTCAATCCTCTACCCCAACTTCATCTAACACCGCACATGGCACCATAAGATCGGGATCCACTACAAAAGTGGGACCCGTCATGTTTAAAATGTGTAGTGTAAGATCATGTTGGTAACGAGTTTTGTTGGAAGGTGATCCGGACAAAACAAACGGGTGCCCGTCCGTGTTTAGCGGAGGTCGCAAGCAGAATGGGAGCTCGGTTCAGCTGACCCGTGACCGTATCCAGGTCAGACCCGGCGTGTCCCGAAAGACAACAATTAACAATTCACAGCTCACACGGAAGTCGGAACGTGTTTTGTTGGCTCTCTCCGTCTCTCGATGCCTCCCTCCTCTCTGAGACTCTGAGACTCCTCACCCTCTGACTTTTCTGTGACAGCCATGTTGAGAAACTCAGCGAGTTTCTCTTCCAAACTCTTCTACCTATCAAACACTAGCCCTAACCACTCCATCATCTCCTCCTCAAACCCTCTTCGTTCTGCAGCCCATGGCGTCCAAAGAGGAGTCTTTGCGACCCATCTCTGTTCAACGAGCGCGGGAATTTCTTCATCAGTTGAATCGTTGAAGCCTGGGCTCGAGAAACCTGAGGGAGAAAGAGCATTCCGATTCGTCTCTCCGGTGACTGTCATTAATCCGTCGACGTTAGCCTCTGCATCCGTGTCGAAGGCTAGAGATGCCGTTGAATCTTTTCGGCATTACGGGCGGTGTTATTGGGAGTTGTCCAAAGCGAGGCTCAGGTTAGATTTGACCAAATTGGTTCTACTTTTATTTTCTTTTTAACACAGTGAGATCTAACTAATTGAATTTAATAGGTTTAGGCTTACATATAGTCCAATTGATTTCCATTCTTTGGTGTCTCCATCTGTACAAATGCCTTTTAGTTTAAGAGGAAACTGAAAGGACAAATATATGCAAGTTCATACTTCATTTGCGTAACTACCATACAAACATCTGAACGGTGAATTAGGAATTTATTTGCTTGGTTCCTGGTGGGTGCAATATGCAGATGCTGCACTTTTCTCAATTTGATCTACTTCTCGCCTGCGCCAATTGCGCCAGATAAACAGAACAACTTCTGTTTCGTTTCCGAAGACATCTTCAATCCCAGGAGTCACTGAGTTTCCAATAGAACAGCTTTCAAAATGATCTTAACGCTTAACAATTCTGGGAGGGCGGGGGGTGATGTCTGAGGAACCTCCCTCCTGCTGGTGGATGATTTTGAATGTCACTCTCTGTTTACTAAATCCACAGACAAGCATTTTATACTTATTCAAAATCAAAATCAACTTAGCAACTCAGTCACTCGTTAAATCATTCTGCCACAGTAGAGAGAATCCTGGCATTCCATTTATGCCCCAAATAACTGAAGCCAAAGTGCTTCTTCCCATTTTATTACTTTACTAAGGGTTGTGGAGTGCCACTGTAGATAGAAATCCTCTGCCTTAATCCAATAGGATTCTTAATCTTGCTACCTTTAGGTGCATTATTAATGGTGGATGGCTAGAACATTAACAATATTTTTATTTATGATTTCTTAAGATTCCTTTTGTTGTATCAACACATAACTGCACACTTTCCAACCTTTGTGAATGTACGGGGGGGGGGGGTACTGGTAGCTTTTCGTGACCTAATAAGATGAGTCTTTGCTGTAAGCTCTTGAGTGATGCTTTTCCATTTTTGAAGCTTGTGGGTTTTGTCTTGGTATGTTGGTTTTTAGATTGTGGCCACTAGGAAATGTCACAAAGGAAAAAATTACATCTAGCCGTATGTAATTTTTCCTTTGTCTTCCTTCTATAACAGATGCTAAGAATATTTGTGACATTTTAAGAAGAGGGAAGTGCCCCTTTCGGTTGGAGAAGAGGGAAGCGCCCCTTTCGGTTGGAGAAGGTCTGGGCTCTACATAAAGATTTCAAGTTTAACATGACTTCATGGTGGGAGGAGTGTAAGGTAGATGGGGTGGGCTGGACTTTGTTTTCTTCAGAAGCTGAAGTACCTAAAGAGGAAGTTAAAAATCTGTGGAAAGGATGAACTCAAAGCATTTGCTGAAGAAAAAACAAGTTAATTTGTGAACTGGATGAGTTAGACTGCAAGGAACAAAATGGAAATTTAGATTGGCCAAGGGAGACGAAAAAGAGAGGCTTTAAGGAAAGATTGGGAAAAGGTAGTTAGGAGGGAAGAAGTGTACTGGAGGCAAAGATCTAGAGTAAAATGGCTGAAGGAGGGGGATAACAGCTCAAGATTTTTTCACAGTTATGCTATAGGAAGACAAAGGAAAAATTACATCTCAAAATTGAAGGTGGATCAAAGAGAGGTGGAGGGTCAAGAGGAGACTGTGGAGCATTTCTTAACTTTCTTTAAGGAGTTGTATACAAAGAGCAACAACAGGTCCTTTTCTTTGACTAGCTGGGAAGGAAGTCACTTGTTGGAGGGGAAGCGACTTAATGAGTAGGAAGTCTTTTTTTGATAAATAATATATCACATTTCATTAAAATCAAGAGGAAATTACAGACCCTTGGTAAGGTGCAAGGTGCCGCTTCTCCAAGACATGGAACCCAAAAAAGACAAAAACCATAAGAACTATAGCACTATAGCAAAGGGTACATGAGTGCTACTACAAAATTACAGTTTAGCCCAAAACAGTGTTTCCCTATTTGTCCCTTGTTTTGCCAAAGTATCCGCAAGGGCATTTTCTGATCTCCCCACCCACCGTACTGTAACAGTCATGTTTCTTCTCAGCCATATATATTTCTTGAGCTCATTCTTGTAGATCCAAGCAACCTCCTCTGAATTATTTAGCCACTCCACTACTATCTTGGAATCCCCTTCAACAGCAACTGCTCCATGCCCAATTCTTTTGCAAGAAGAACTCCTTGTATGGCAGCTAACAATTCTGCTCTAACAGAATTCCCAACTCCCAATGGGCCAGAGTAGAGAAGGATAACCTCTCCATCCTCATTTCTCAGGACTCCTCCCAATCCGAGGCCCCTGGGTTGCCCTGGCTGCTCCTATCAAAATTCAGTTTCAGAAAACATTGTGGAGGGGGGGGGGGCAGTTTGTAGAAACCCTGTCCTTTAAGGATGAGCAGCTTGTTACTGCTGTCCAGTTCCTCCATAAATCATTAAAGGAGAATGGATGAAACAGTTCCATAAACTTTAACCAATGTATTGCTCTATTCATGATGCAATCCTTCAAGGCCTGGCTGCTCCTTTCCTTCTGGTGGAATATTCTAGTATTCCTTTCTTTTCTTTTTTCGATAAATTCTAGTATTCCTTTCTTCCCAAACTGCTAGATCAAAGCTGCTCTTACACACCTCTATTTGCTTCTTCGTCTTTTATGGGGCCATGAGAAGGTAGATGAGTTAAACAACATGCTTGTTTCTAATGACATCTCCCACCTGCACCCAAATAAGGAAAAAAGCCGAACCCAAATCTTTGCAGTGACATCGCAAGATAGGAATAAATGATAACAGTCCTCACCATGAGATCTGCAAAGAGTACACCAGTTTGGAGAGATACAAAGAAAGGGTCTTCTCTTTTGTAGGTTATCCATGGTGTTAACTTTCCCATGGCACACTTCCCAACAAAAAGCCATTACCTTAGGGGGAACTGGCCCACACCGGACTTCTTTGGAAGGGAAAGCCTATTGACAGGAGGTGTTGCATAGTGACTTAGAAAAGGAACCACAAGAAAAGAAACCTTTGGGGTGAGGAGCTCAGATCCTTTTATCTGGCAACAAGGGATCCAACCACACTTTTTCAAGGAGGCAAAGCAAATTAGACAAATAATCAACTTCCTCATCCCTTAACCCTCTATGAAAACCAAAGTCCCAAGACAAAGCCAACAGATTTAAAGAAGGAAGGAAATTTGAGATCACCTCATTTTTATACAAAAACAGAAAACAAGGAAGGAAAAAGATCTTTAAGAGGGAGATCCCCGACCCAAATGTCTTCCAGAAAATGAACAGAAGTACCAAAAGAAATGTCATACTTGACACACACAACTGAGGAATTGTGGGAGAATTCCTTCCAAGGTGTTGCCATGTTAGCCCTCCTTGATGCACCAACATCCCATCCATTCTCTGAGCATCCATGAATACTCTTCACTACTTCATGCCAAAGTCCCTCTCTCTCCAAGGGCCACCTCTACAACCACTTCCTAGCAGAGCCAAATTCTTTTTTATCACATTTCCTAGACCTAATCCCCCTTCCTCTTTGCTTCTACCCATAATCTCCCATTTGATTAAATGATCTTTTTTTTTTCCTTTTCCCAGTTTCTAAAGAAAGTCTCTCATCAACTTTTCTAGCTTCTTCGCTTCCCTAGGTGGTATCCTAATGACAAAGAGGTAGTAAGTAGGTAGATTTGTGAGGGTAGCTGTTATCAATGTAATCCTTCCACCCAATGAGATATTATTTTTCTTCCACACTGCTAACCTCCTCTCAAACTTCTCTATGACTAGAATCCAGAACCTACTCTCCCTAGGATTTGCCCCTAACGGAAGCCCTAAATAGGACATAGGCCAAGAGGAAGTAGAACATTCAAGACAATGTGCAATAGCTTCAATCTCCTCATTCTCCAAATTGATCCCTGCTATGCATCTCTTTTCTAAGTTGATTTTTAAATTGAAAATTTCTTCGAAGGCTTTAATCAACTCCTTTAAATTTCCCACCCTCTCACTATAGCCTCCATCACTAAAGATCATTAAATCATCTGCAAACTAAAGATGGGTAACTGGAACTTGGTTTCTGCCTATTCTCCATCCCCTTATGACAATATTCCCTATCAGTCCTAGTGATGATTTGACTGTATACATCGGCTACCTAGGTAAAGAGGAAAGGTGAAAGGGGATCCCCTTGTCTAATACCCCTACAGGTTGGAAAGAAATCCCCTACCACTCCGTCTACTAGGATAACATAGTGACAACAATTGACACAACCCATTATCCACCTACACCACCTTTTCCCAAACCCACATTTCCTCAACACCTCTAAAAGGAATTTCCAATCCACCAGGTCATAGGCTTTCTCTAGGTCTAGCTTACAAATGAATCCTCTTTGCTTGAATCTCTTCATCTCCTCCACACACTCATTTGCAACTAGGATCTAATTGATTATCTGGCGTCTTCGAATGAAGGCCCCTTGGGCCTGACTAATGATGGAAGAGAGGGCTTCTTTAATCCTCAGAGAAAGAACCTTGGCCAATATTTTATAGATACTTGTCACCAAACTAATTTGCTTGAAGTCCTTGGGATGGATAGCATCATATTTCTTTGGGATTAAAGCTAAGAAAGTAGCATTGATACCTCGGCTAACTACATGCTTATTTGCAAACTCGTTAAAATCACAAAGATCATCTTTTATTACCTCCCAACAATCTTCGTAAAATGCTATTGTAAAACCATCTGGGCCTGGAGCTTTCGATCTATCCATCAAGAACATTGCCTGTTTAATCTCTTCTTCCTCAAAGTTCCTTTCCAGCCACCCAATGTTCTCCTCATCAAATCTTGGCCAATCTACCCCTTCCATTTCAAGCCTCTTGTTCAAGGGTTGTCTATAAATCGATTTAATGAGTAGGAAGCTAAGGAGGTGGTGTTCAGTATGGATGGAGACAGGGCTCCTAGTCCAGACGACTTTCCTTTGTTTTTCTATCAATTGTGTTGGGATATAATTAAGTTGGACTTACTAGAAGTGTTCAAGGATTTCTTCAATTCAGCCATTATAAATAAAGGTAGCAACTCAACA